GCCTCACCGTCTCCGCCGCCGCCGTCCACCTCACCGTCACCGCCGCCTCCCTCCGCCTCGCCCTCGCCGCCGCCTCCCTCCACCTCGCCCTCGCCGCCGCCTCCCTCCGCCTCGCCCTCGCCGCCGCCTCCCTCCGACTCGCCGTCGCCGCCGCCTACCTCGGCATCGCCGTCGCCCCCGCCGCCGTCCGCCTCGCCCTCGCCACCGCCTCCCTTCACCTCGCCCTCGCCGCCGCCTCCGTCCGCCTCGCCGTCGCCCCCGCCGCCCTCAGCATCGCCGTCGCCGCCACCGCCGTCCGCCTCGCCCTCGCCACCGCCTCCGTCCACCTCGCCGTCGCCCCCGCCGCCGTCCGCCTCGCCCTCGCCGCCGCCTCCCTCCACCTCGCCGTCGCCGCCGCCGCCGTCCGCCTCGCCCTCGCCGCCGCCTCCGTCCGCCTCGCCGTCGCCGCCACCGCCGTCCGCCTCGCCCTCGCCGCCGCCTCCCTCGGCCTCACCATCGCCGCCGCCTCCCTCCGCCTCACCGTCGCCGCCGCCTCTCCGTCCGCCTCACCGTCGCCGCCGCCTCCCTCGGCATCGCCGTCGCCCCCGCCGCCCTCAGCATCGCCGTCGCCGCCACTGCCGTCCGCTTCGCCCTCGCCACCGCCTCCCTTCGCCTCGCCGTCGCCGCCGCCTCGCTCCACCTCGCCCTCGCCGCCGCCTCCGTCCGCCTCGCCGTCGCCCCCGCCGCCCTCAGCATCGCCCTCGCCCCCGCCGCCGTCCGTGTCACCTCGTCGCCGCCTCCCTCGGCATCGCCGCCGCCGCCGCCGCCGTCCGCGTCGCCCTCGCCGCCACCGCCCTCCGCCTCGCCGTCGCCGCCGCCACCTTCCGCCTCACCATCGCCGCCGCCTTTCTCCACTTCGCCCTCGCCGCCGCCTCCCTCCGCCTCGCCGTCGCCACCGCCTCCCTCCGCCTCGCCCTCGCCGCCGCCTCCCTCCGCCTCGCCCTCGCCGCCGCCTCCCTCCGCCTCGCCCTCGCCACCGCCTCCGTCCACCTCGCCGTCGCCCCCGCCGCCGTCCGCCTCGCCCTCGCCGCCGCCTCCCTCCGCCTCGCCCTCGCCGCCGCCTCCCTCGGCCTCGCCGTCGCCCCCGCCTCCCTCGGCATCGCCGTCGCCCCCGCCGCCCTTAGCATCGCCGTCGCCACCGCCGTCGTCCGCCTCGCCCTCGCCGCCGCCTCCCTCCACCTCGCCGTCGCCCCCGCCGCCCTCAGCATCGCCGTCGCCACCGCCGTCGTCCGCCTCGCCCTCGCCCCCGCCGCCCTCGGCCTCGCCGTCGCCCCCGCCGCCCTCAGCATCGCCGTCGCCGCCACCGCCGTCCGCCTCGCCCTCGCCACCGCCTCCCTCCACCTCGCCCTCGCCGCCGCCGCCGTCCGCCTCGCCGTCGCCGCCGCCTCCCTCGGCATCGCCGTCGCCGCCGCCGCCGTCCGCGTCGCCCTCGCCGCCGCCGCCCTCCGCCTCGCCCTCGCTGCCGCCGCGGCAGCGCCAGCAGCAGACGCGCCGCTGCTTGGGCAGCAAGTCGTGCTCGGCGGCCTCTCTTCACGCCCCGAGCTGAACGGGCGGCGAGGCGTGGCTCAGAGCTTTGAGGGCGGGCGGTACGCTGTGGCGCTCGAGGGCAGCGGCGAGAGCGTGCGGGTAAGGCCGACGAAGCTGTCGCTGGCGCCGGTGGCCGAGCAGGCGTCGGGTGGAGGCGTCGCAGTCTCCGACGAGGTGGTCGCAGCGACTCATCGAGGCGAGGAGAAGGCGGTGCTGGCGTGGCTCGAGGGCGGCGGGCGGGTCGACGCGACGTACGAGAGAGACGAGGTGAGCGGTGTTACGCTGCTCATGGATGCCGCCCTCTATGGCCACGAGCGGTTGGTCGACCTGCTGCTGCGGCGTGGCGCGGGGGTCGACCTGCAGGACAGCGACGGCGACACCGCCCTGATGCTCGCCGCCGACCAAGGCCCTCACCCCCCCGTGATCCGACCTGCAGCCCGCCCCCGCGCCGTCCCCCGCGCAGGTTCTACTTCTTCGTCGGCATCGCCATCGTCTGCGACGACTTGTACGCCGAGGCGATCGATGAGGGGGTCGAGGTGCTCAAGAGGTGCCCGAGGACGTCGCCGGCGCACCCTTCATGGCGGTCGGGTCGTCGGCGGCCGCGTTCTTCACGGTGATTCGCCCCGCTCGTGACCGAGTCGGACGACAGCGTCGGCGACATCGTCGCCGCGCCGCCGTCTTCAACTCGATGACCATCGTCGGCCTGACTGGCATCTTTGCCGGGACTGCTGTGCGTGCCTGACTACTGCGGCCAGGCTATGAACGACGATTCGCCCACCGCCGCTTCGTTGCTGCCACTTCCGGGCCACCGCCGCCGTTGTGCCGCCGCCTCCGCCGCGCAATGTGCCGCCGCAGCCTTCACCGCCGCCATTGATGCCTTCGCCGCCCTGCCGTCGACACTGCCGCCGCCGCAGCCCCTCCCTTCCTGCCCCCCCCTCCCCTCGCCCTCGCCGCCAGCCCCCCCCCCACACACACTGCCGCCACCCTCGCCTTCGCCCTCGCCCGCAAGGCCCCCTTATTCTCTGGCCCTCGTCGCCTGCAACACTCGCCGGACATGAACTTTAGCCCGCTCCCTCGTGACGCCGCCCTCCGCAGGCTCAACGTCCGAGCTTTGTCCCCCGTCACTCTCCTCTCATTTCAGACCCCACACATGCGCATAGCTGTCCGACCAATGCAGGCGCCTTGTAGTGACCAGACGTATAT